TCCCTATGAGATCGATATGGCAGTGAGATCAACTCCACAACGTCTTGACGAAATCAAAGCAAGTCTACAAAGGCCCATTCTGAATCTAGGCCCAAAATGATATTAAACCCATAAGCAAAATGGGCTTAATAGATTAATGTGTCTAATTTTAATATATTGTTTAATTGGCCAAATCCATTTAGTACCTGACCCATTTTACTTAATATTATATATAGTCCCTCATTATCACCCAAAGAGGGGATCGAAATTCATTAGCAAATACTCTTGTAACAACTTTCTTCACAGCTAATAAAACCTCTCTTGAGATCTTTGCGTTGGTTGCTTCCCGCAGAACTTTACAAACACTGAATAGTTACTTAGATCGTGATTGTGAGATTCGACCACCACAATTTGGAGCCATCTAAGGGGACAGTAAAGCTTCTTACTCAAAAAGCACTACCGAACAAAGATCAGAAGAGATGACCATCGACGGAGACAACAGCGGCAGCAACCCAAAAGAACTCATCACAGACAGGTCAGCAGCGAAGGACGCCGCGACAGACAAGCCCCGAGAGAAGAACATCGCAGCAGACGAATCTACACAAGTGCAGACGCCGCCTGCCACGGAAGAAAATGTCAACCCTCTGGCTCAGATAAAGAAAATGTTCGATGAGCTCGTTAAGAAATCAAAAGAGCAAGACATCTTCAACAATATTAAGACCAGCTGGATGGATTCCCTTGCCACGGCGAGCCGCGGAAGAGGAAAAAGACCCGCACAACAGGTAACAGATTGCGTCGCCCCAACAATGAAGGCACCTAGGGTCCATTGAATCGATCTGAATGTTGACCCAACCCCCGGAACCGCGGGCGAGATGTACATAAGAGTGCGGCAACAACTACCAAATCGGCACACCAAATGGATCAGCGCCAGCTGGCAGGTCGACATCAGTGTTCGATGCTGAACAGGACAGCCCTGACAAACCACACGAATCAACGCAGGAAGCTGCAAGGCAAGATCAGACCGCTCGCAAAGAAACTTATTACGAAGATGACGAGCGTTATACTGAAGAACTCACCTTCGAGGAGGAACGCTTCCTCCAGGAAAGATAGCGAGCTGCTGAAAGAAGGAGAGCCGCACTGCGGTCGCAACAAGCCGAGTTGGACAAACTTTGAGCTTTTATGAGCCAAACAGCTCTCGACCTAAGGGAGATGCGC